TCCTCCTTCTCCTCTAGGCTACTTCGTTGATGAGTTAGACACTCTTCTGAGTCTCTTCCCCATCGACGGAACCCCACTCATACTCTTGGGTGACTTCAACCTGCCATCGGACAAACTGCAGTCATCCGGCCTGTTACCACTGCTGTCATCCTTCGACCTCTCCCTCAACCAGACTTCTCCGACGCACAGAGCAGGCAACACTTTGGACCTGATTTTCACCAGACCTACCTCCACGCTGGATGTCACAGTAACTCCCCTTCACTGCTCTGATCACCACTTCCTATCTTTCTCACTTCTCCTACCTGCTGCTCCTGTCCATTCCACTCCTTCACGCTCCTCTCGACGCAACCTGCACTCCACTCCTCCCTCCTCTTTCGTCTCAACTATCCTGACCACTCTTCCCCATCCTGATTCATTTTCTTCCTTCTCACTGGACACAGCTACAGATGCTTTCCTTTCTTCACTCTCATCTGCAATTAATTTTCTGTGTCCTCTCTCCTCCAGGCCAGCAAGATCTTCCCCACCTGCCCCCTGGCTGACAGGTGTCCTGCGCAGCAACCGGCAAGAACTAAGGAAGGCTGAGAGAAGGTGGCGGAAATCCCAGCTCGACTCGGATCTTCACTCCTACCAATCTCTACTTTCCAAGTTCTCACTCGAAGTTACTGCTGCAAAGTCATCCTTCTACAGAGGGAAACTGGAAGCATCAGCATCTGATCCACGCAAGCTTTTCAGCATTTTCTCCTCTCTCCTCAACCCTCCTCCTCCCCCTCCACCCTCTTCTCTCACTCCTGAGGATTTTGTCACCTTCTTTGAGGAGAAGGTTGATAGAATCCGCCAGTCTTTTCCCTCTGTCCCCACTCCTTTCACTAGACCTCCTTCTCTCGTTCTCAATCCCTTAAACTGTTTTTCTTCTCTTTCCACAGACGCTGTCCTTCAACTGATCAAATCCAGTAACCCAACCACCTGCCCACTGGATCCCATTCCATCTGCATTGTTCCAGTCAATCTCCAAGGATCTACTGCCCTTCATCACTTTTTTTTTCATTAACAAGTCCTTGTCATCAGGTGAAGTACCATCAACTTTGAAGACTGCAAGAGTACTTCCCATCCTGAAGAAGCCCTCGCTTGACAGCTCTGATGTCAACAACTACAGACCGGTATCACTCCTTTCTTTCCTTTCAAAAATTCTTGAACGTGCAGTCTATAATCAACTGTCTCTCTTTCTCACGCAGAACCAGCTCCAGGACCCCAACCAGTCTGGCTTCAAACCAGCGCACTCAACAGAAACTGCTCTTATAGCAGTGACAGAGAAGCTCCAGTCAGCAAGATCAGCCAGTATGTCATCTGTCCTGATTCTTCTTGACCTCTCAGCAGCTTTTGACACGGTCAACCACACAATCCTTCTGGATGTCCTCACCAACCTTGGAATCACTGGCTCTGCGTGGAAGTGGTTCAAGTCCTATCTGGAGGATCGCTCTTATCAGGTAACATGGAGAGGGTCCATATCCTCTCCATGCAGGCTCTCCACTGGTGTCCCACAAGGCTCGGTGCTAGGTCCTCTTCTCTTTTCTCTTTACACTAGCTCTCTTGGCAATGTAATATCATCTCATGGCTTCTCTTATCACTGTTATGCTGATGACACTCAACTAATGCTTTCTTTCTCACCCTCGGACACACAGGTTTCCAGTCGGATCTCGGCATGTCTGTCTGACATCTCTTCATGGATGGCAGCTCACCACCTGAAGCTCAATCCTAGCAAGACTGAGCTACTATTCATCCCTGCAACTACAGGTCCTCATCAAGATCTTGCCATCTCATTCGAGAACTCTCTGATTGTCCCGTCAGCAGAGGCAAGAAGTCTTGGTGTGGTTTTGGATGGCCAGTTATCGTTCTCGACTCACATTGTGAACCTAACTCGGTCATGCAGATTTCTGCTGTTCAACATCCGGAGGATCCGACCCTTTCTCTCGAGAGAGGCCACTCAGGTGCTAGTGCAGTCTTTTGTCATCTCAAGGCTTGACTACTGCAACTCGCTCTTGGCTGGTCTTCCGATGCAGGCCATCAGGCCTCTGCAACTCATCCAGAATGCAGCAGCAAGACTCATCTTCAATCTCCCAAAGTTCAGCCACGTCACCCCACTGCTGCGCTCCCTTCACTGGCTTCCTGTAGCTGCACGCATCAGATTTAAAACCCTTATGCTTGCCCACAAGGCCAAAAATGGACCAGCCCCTCCCTACTTGATGGCAATGGTCAAATCTCGAACTGTACCACGAGCCCTTCGAGCTTCGAGTACAGCTCGGCTTGACCCGCCATCCTTCAAGGCGCGTGGAAGGCAAGCAACTAGACTGTTCTCTGTGCTGGCACCCAGGTGGTGGAACGAACTCCCACTGGCTGTCCGTACAGCAGAGTCTCTCGCTGTCTTCAAACGCAGACTGAAGACACACCTGTTTATTCAGCACTTAAATGAGCACTAAATTAAGTATTGATTGTAATGTATTGTACAGCACTTATGTATTTTATCGTATTGCACTGTTCTGTGTTTAACTCTGTCCCTTTTTCACTAGGTGTCAATAACCTTCTGATTCTACCAGTATCTGAGCTTAGGACTGACTTTCTCTCTAACCTATCGGTAGCTAGCGAAGATTCTTTCTCTGGATAGACAAAGCACTTTTTGTAAGTCGCTCTGGATAAGAGCGTCTGCTAAATGATGTAAATGTAAAATGTAAATGTATTTAACAGATTATTTACAGGATTACCCACCTCGTTCAATCGGATAGAAGCTGTATTCCGAATGGCCTCAATCGGACTAGTCTATTCCGACTGAGGTGTATACATGGACGTATTATACTCCGATTAATCTATTAGTCGGATTATTAACGGATTATTAGGCTGCATGTAAATGTGCCTACTCTGAAGCCTTGCATCATAATGCATTTCACCACCAATGGAGTGGAGCACTGATTTAGTAATACTGTGTAACGTGGCACTTTTGTATCCAAATGCATCTTCACTTTCCTTGTTCAAACTGGGATGGACAACTGTTGCCATGTCCTCATTTCACCTGCTGAACACACAGCACATCTGAGCTGAAGATGAGATACTACCTACACACAAGAGAGCGTGTGTGACTATGTTTGCTTAGTCACAGTAAGCTCCAGCTTACTGAAGCATAGCAAATCAAAGGGTATGAAGATAAGCTTTTTCATACTCTTGGATATCCTTCAAACACACAGACACTCATGCATGCACCGTGGTCGAATTGTAAAAAAAATTCAAAGGAGATGGTGGGTTCAAAGTACAGGGCAGGAACTGTACCTTACTTACTTTTTTAGCGCTGACAAAGTCTTATCCCAAAGTCTTATCGGATATCCCTTGGCTTATATAGTCTTTAAACTGCGCATTTGTTTATATAGAAATAAGTTTAAGCTGTAATTCTAAAATAATTAAACTTTTTCTGATGACAGTGCATGTATTTTTCTACATAAGCACCTCCTGGGTGCAAACATCTTTTTGCCCTGTTGTGTTTTTAACGTGAATACTCCTGACACATCCATGACAACTTGGAGTTTAAATCTCTAATATGGATGGAATATCTATAATGGACTGAAATACCATTAATATACATGTCAGTGTAAACCACATAACAGGTCTGTTTTACAGTTATATCAGGGTATATCACTTTAAGGGGTGAATTCCATAAAATATTTTAAAATCTCTGCATAACTCAATGGTTTAGATGTAAATAAAGTCATGCAGAGTGGTTTGAAGTGAAATGCGCCATTCTAGAAAAATGTACAGTCAGAACTGTTCACAGTGGTGGTGACAGGAACCAGACGTCCACAGCATTTAATGCCTCTTAAACTACATTACAGAAAGTTATTACATGAAATGGTTACGGATACGATATCTGATACCTGAGGCACTATTTTACACAAGTTTTTTTTTCAGATTTAGTACTATTTTACCATAATCAATGTTATATATAAAACTTTGAAGACACGTGTAGGGTCACTGGATAGTAAATATATTTATAGTATATATAGATAGTATATATCACTACCACTGTAAAGAATGTTGGTAAGTTTTGCTACAGTGCACCATTTCGCATTAAAAAAAATACACTGAATGACTTTGTTTACCACAACAATTGAATTATGTAAAAATCTTTCAATACTGGAATTCCCCTTTAATCTAAAGGAGATGGGCAGAGGGGATAGCAGAATGATAGCTGTAATATTTTATCTGTATTTTTTGCCTGGAGGAATGCCATCCCTTTGCCTCCTACCTCAAACTGAACTGGGTTCTGTACAAATCCTGTTTCACCATCTGGTAAAAAAAAAGTACATTTGCTTGTATTTGAGAAAAGACACTCTGAGACAGCTCATCCTGCGGTGAGGAGGCATTTTCCTAACCAGCTAAATGCTGTGGAGCCTAAAAATATCCAGTTTTATAATCCTGCTGCTGTACACAGTGCTGTTACATTCAGTCTAACCCCATCAGGCTCACACACAAACTCTTATATGCGCTAATATTAGTGTTGTCGAAGTTAGCACATTGATAAAGTATTTACAGGCTAAATTATTCGTTTTTAATGCCATTTTCTAGTCTGACTCTGAACCATTCGTAGTTCTACCCTGAAGCCCAATGGCAAAATTAAATGAAGAGTTACATTTAAACAGATTCACACACATAAAGGTGTTAGTTAAGGGTAGTGTGGGAAGGCAAGAGGACAGAAAAACATATCCATTCAGGCATGTTTGGTTAAACCTCTGCTTTAACCAAACATTAACAGAACCACTCAAGCACAGACAGAGAGACAGATGAACAGACAGAGAAAGAAAGAAATACTCATAGCGAGAGTGTGCATGTGTGCACATATGTGCATGGGAATGAATGTCCATATGTGTTGGTCATCTCATCAGGAACATCAGTTGGTCAAATGTTTATGCATTTGTGGCCGTGTGAGAGAGGGAGAAAGTGGACGGAACTGTTTGGTCTTACCCGAGTGTGTGTACGGATGTGCATCTTCAACCCATCATTCTTGCTGAAGGCCTTGTCACAGTAAGGGCACTGATAAGGGCGTTCACCTAAACACACACACATAATCATGATCATCACAACGCTGGAGCACACCTTGTTTAAATACAGCTGTCAAGCCATCAGTCAGCCTACAGACAGTCAGCCCACAGACAGGAGTGGATCTAATCAGAGCCAAGATGTGAGCTGAGAGGACTTGATGCGTATGAGAATGGCAAAATCTAAGGCACAAATCATGACACTTGAAGACATTTTCTCAATACATGATATGCATCAGAATATTTCTCATTTTTTGCAGACAAGCTGGAATGTACAAATACAGTAGTGCCACATTTTAAAATAGTACAATGTTGTTTTTTGGCAAAAATAAAAAAATGGGTAAAATAATGATAAAATACAATTCTGCCTGTTCTGTCAATCAGTAGGGAGGATAATCTTGACATATTCAGAAATATGTACTGTATACCATATCGTATCACAATAAAGACAACATAGTGTTGTATCTCTCACCCCCAGTTTAAAGATTTAATTTCAGTTGAGTTTCATTTCAAAGCAGAAAATATGTGCCAATTTTCTGTTGGCACTCTGCTTACACACACGTCCAACTGCCCAGGGCCTTGTAACTGGTGCTTTTGCACTCTGTAATGCACTCAACATCTTCAACTAGAGCAGAATAACTGAAAACAGAAAGGAGCACTGTATTGTAGTGTTAACTACAGTATGTGTGCTCTGTGGCTATAAACTGTAACTGGACAGTCATGTTGTGAGGCACTGAGGCATGGTCAAGGCAAGCGAAACTGAAGGACCCATAATAAAGACATAAAGAAAACTGAATTTCTCTTCATGTTTGAAATAAAAGACATATTCTCTCTACAGTCAATTAGTCCATACATGGGAACTAAGCTGCAAAGCCAGCTGTTTTGAATTCATCATAGTTCTGATATCACAATAACATGTTCAGGTAATTAACATACATAGCATGCAACCCCCCCCCCAAAGTTTCAGTCATTTGCGCATATTTAGTAATTCTTATCTCGCTGTACACCAATCACTGTAAGGAAATGCAAAGTTGACAAAGTTAATCCTGCCTTAGTAGGGCATTCAAACTTTATTTTTTACAAAAAAATCACTTGAAAACAACATTGCTAACAGTTTTGGCTGTAGTTCTGCATATACAAAATCACAGAACACACAACACTGTTACCATTTTGACAAATATTTGTCCCTACTGGTTAGCTTTCTTTGATCTAAGGTGAAACCTTTTCGGCCATGGTGTTATACAGAGTAAAGGTGTCCACGGCGGACAAACTTAACCTCATTGTAAACACAACATGCTGCTTTAAGCAGAAAGACGAGTTACGGGAAAGCCAGGCAATCTCTAACCGGAAGTGAGGTGGCCGATATTGGAGGATGCCCATTATTCTAGCAGTTTTTACGTAAGTAGACAAACACACATATATCTCTCTGGTAAAAAAAAAATATATATATATTAATTAGGGTGAGTAAAGAGATGACATTTGTCCAGAACTTATAGCAGACATGCTGTCAGTTGGCTGATTAATTAAAGAATATGTGCTTCAGTATTTAATATACTTATCTCTGTTTCACCAATATTTTGAGTACATTGCATATAAACACATACATAATCGTTTTCTGTATGGAGCCAGCACTGCTAAACTAATCCTTTCCTCTATCATCCTGATTTCCACCTAGCCTGACCCACAGTGGGCGGGGTCACCCAGGCCCCTCCCCATCGCACATCAAAGTCCTGCAGCTCTGACTGGGAGAGATGCTATCTGAGCACGCTCAATGGAGCTGCAAACAGGGAATGACAAGCTGTCAATCACAGGAGGGGTGGACACGTGGATCTGTTTTAGATTAAGCTGATTTGGGTAGCAGATAGCAAAAAGCAGCTCTGATTAGAGGTCTGAAGGCCTGCACTGTGAGCTAACTCAGCTCAGACGCCTCACAATCATCAAGAATTTGTCATTTTGCTTGTTTGCTTACGGATGCTAGCGACTATGTCTGGTGTAATGCCTGATTTAATAGAAACTCGAACTTAAAAAATGACTTTCGCCTTGGCAAAAACTTCACAGGGGTCAAAAAGAGCACGGGCATGCTCATGCACTCAACATCTTTCTTTTAATTACAAAGAGAGGAGCTGTTGGTTAGGTAAAGCATGGCTTTGTGCTGACTATACCATGTACAAAAGGCTATATGGACATATATACATCTGTAGGGGCCACAACAGAAACGTGAAGAAAATTCAGAACATAAAATTCTGTTTCTAACTAAAATGCTCCACACAAAAACACCAATGTTAGCATTTCACACAAAAATGCTTATGTGGCCAATTTCATTTGAAAGCCAAAAGAGGTCGGTTAGCATGACGACATATTGCCGCTGTGGTAAAAAAAAAAAAAACCCTGGCAACTTTATGAAATAAAGAACGAACAATCTTAACTTCAGTGTTTGACAATGTAACATATAAGTAATTCTGGACTTTACGTCTATTTATCTATTAATTATGAAATGTGCACACAGTTTCAGTTTTTTAACACAAGTCGAAAATAAGATTCGCTTGCATAGCTTGAATTAATTATTCATTTTTGCGTGCTTGTGTGAAAGTGTTCCTGTAACTCTGTGTTACTGTGTCCAGTAAGTGCTGGATCTAACGCAAGGTAGGTACGAAAAACTGCAGTTGCGGCATGCAAGGAATGAATCACTCTGCTGCTTTTGGGAAAGACGGAAAATCTCTGTCTTGCGCAGGCCTCTGTTCCGCTGGCTGTATCAGTCACCATTGGGAAGCGGACAGGAACCTAGGCCCATGAAACAAAGCCTTATTCTAATTTCAGCTCTTTCTGGGCTAATGAAATAAGGCTTTGCTGGATGGAGAATGGCTCCCTTTGGAATAAGTAATGCGTCTGGCAACTGGGACAGATCCTCAAGGAAACACGAAATGGCAAAGCATAACTTAATAAGATGCAGCCTTTAGAGAGATGCCAACTGTTCCGCGTATGTGCGCTGCTGACTACACAACAATCTAATTCCTAATTCACGTTGTTAGTGTAACCTCTTAAGGGACTAATTGTTGGACAGAAAAACATGTTGTTTAATTAGATAAAGTGAGAGATTGTTGAAAAATGTGTTTTTTTTTCCTGTGAGTAATAAGGTTAATTAGCTCGGCTTCGGGGGAGTTAACAGGGTAAGATCCTCATTAAGCTGAAGATTGCTCTCAAGGCAAATCTGTGGTGGAATTACCAGCTACACATGATGGCGATAGTTTAACCCAGCAGCCCTCATTCTGCCTCTCACATTACTTTGATGGTTTCATCTCCAGCTCAATTAAATTCAATTCAGTGCCTTATTGATATAGATACTTCAGTATCAGTTGTGCGGAACATGATCATATTTCTATTCTTAAATTGACAGTGTAATTACAGCAAACTGGACCCCAAGCAACTGAAAAACTGGAAGACACATTTTTTCCTTTACTAGCTGTGCCCTAGCATAAATATAAGACATAATCTTTTCATAATCAGTAAATGTTTCAAAAACTGCTTTTTTATCTCTGTAATTAAAATACAGAATTCAACTAAATGCACAAGATTTCAAGTAGAGGCTGCACAATATACCGTTTGTTAATCATTGTTACAATACTAGCCTATATTGTCTTTTAATTACAAAGAAAAGAGTTGTTGGTTTTGTATAACATGGCTTTTTTTAGAGTCTCAAATGTCAACAAGGAATTGTTGTGGGTGTTTTGATGAATCCAGGCATTCACATCATCAAATAATCAAATTTGGTCAAAATAATGCAGGCCAGTCTTTCACCTTGTCACAACAAGGGCTCACCACCGTGGTGAGTTATATAGCATGGCCTATAGCAATCACAGTATGGCATTTTGTCCTTATCATGCAGTCCTAATATGAGCCCAAGCAGCTCTATGTCAACAGTAAAAACCTAATGTTTTAGAAAACATCACTGCACCACACTACTCCACTTGCCCACCATTTCCAGCTCTATTTCACCTCAAAATTGAAGTGTGGTGACTAATCCAAAAGTTTAAGAACTATGAGCGTCATTCACCAACTGTTCTTAAGAAAAAAAATCTTCTTAAAACGCACACAGTTTTCACAAAGATAATGACATTCTTAGGCAAGAACAGAATCTATGCAGACTCAAGAGCACAAAGGTGTGAACAATTCTGCGGTTTGAGGACACATCATAAATGTGACCTAGACCTTTCCTTAGGACCTTTCTCAAGAACAAACTTAAGAAAAAACTCAGAAAGATATTACTGAACGAGGCCCAGTGTTCCTCAATGGGCGACCGCAAAGATTTTAGGTATTTCACCCTTCATGGTGCGTCATATCATCAAAACATTCAGGGAAGAAAACATTCGTGCAGAAATCTCTGTGTGCAAAGGGCAAGGCCACAAACCTCAATGGGATGCCCAAGACCTTCAATCACTAAGACAGCACTGCATTATAAACCAGCATGCTTCTGCGATGGACAGCATCACACAGGCAAAAACTGTCTTAAATGCAAGTTAAGACTGTGCACAGCATAAGGCATTTGCCAATAAGGTTCCAAAACACAGCCAACGTCTCTAGACTCAAGCTCATTTTAAATGAACTGATGTCAAAAGGATTTTGTTAAAAGACTCAGACTTCTAGATTGGAAGCTCTAGGGGGTGTAGCCTTGTTTTCTTTGGGGTTTGTCTTTGTTTTTGTTGAGGGAGTTAGGTTATGTTTTTGTATTTTTGTTTCTTTTACTTTGTATAGGTAAGTTAGTTGATAGGGGAGGTAAAATTTTCTTTGTTCCTTTTGGCTGAGACCACTTCTGAAGCTTAAGCTTCCACAACCCATAATAAAACTCATGAGACTTGTAATATGAGTTTGAGTGTGATTGGTCTAGCGGGTTGGTAATGGGAAGTTGGGGGAGACACTTTTATGCTGCGGCCTACCCTAGACGGGTCGCAACACAGGGTCTGTAATGGTACGGCGTGTAGGTGTGTATGCACTCCCATTTTGGAACAACCTTTGCT